CCCCGCGCCTCCGCGGCCCGCGCGCGCCACGTGCGGGCCGGATCTCACGCGCCCCTCGTGCTCCTCCCGGCCCGCCCCAGCTGGGAAAAGCCTGAGGACAAGCGTGGACTTGTTCCTGCAGCCTTCTAAACCAAACCCTGCGCACGCGCCGACGCGCGAGCCGCACGGACCCTTCCCGGCCTCGCTGCGGGCCAGTGGAGTCATGGAGCGCGCTCTCTCTCTCCCTTTGTCTTTCTCTGTCTCTGTGACTTTCTCTTCCCTCCCTCTCTCTCCCCCTCTTCTCTCCTCTCCCTTCGTCCCTCCCTTTTTCTCTCTCCACTCTTTCCTTTCTTTCTTTCTTGTTGTTGGTTACTGGAGGTTTGAACTCAGGACTTGCCACTTGCTAGGCTGGTATAATAGCTCTCAGCCTGGCTCCAAGCCATAATACAACGTTTTAACTCGATTAATGAAGGTCCAGTGTGTTTTCAGCAGCTCACCCCCCATCCCCACACACTAATTTTAATTTTTTTTTAACTTTGGTTAAACCTGATCAAGTGAACACTGATGTGTAGGAACAAAGCGATCGTTTAAAATGTGATAATACATGTAAACATACAAGGAACAATCTGCAACGACTACTGAAAAACACTGCAAGTGCTCAAGAATTTTTTTTAAATAAATGTGGCCATGTCTGGGGATGTGAAGAATAGGATGTGTGCTCTGCTGAAATGTATGAGACACTGGCTTTGGGCGTAGGGTTGGGTGCTTACTCAGGGTGCTCTACATACTGGCAGTTTACTGTGTTCCCCTAGTTCATGCTTTTGTTGTTATTGGTGGTGGTCATGGAGCTTGAAGTCCAGGCCTAGGCTCAGTCCCTGAGCTCTTTTGCTCAAAGCTAGGGCTCTAACTTTGAGCCACAGCCCACTTTCGGTTTTTAGGTGGTTCATTTGAAGTAAGCATTTCACAGATTTTCTTGCCGGGGCTGACTTCGAAACACCATTCTCAGATCTCAGCCTTCTGAGTAACTAGGATCACAGGCCTGAGGCACCGTCAGTGGGCACTCATGGTTATTTTTCTTGGTTAGCCCCTCCTTCTTTCTTTTTTTCAAGTGCTATAGTTTGGTTAAGCGTCTCCAAAAGGTCCAGGTGTTACAGGCTTAGTCTCCAACCTGTGGGCCATAGGGAGATGGCGGAGCCTTTAAGAGGTAGTGTGTACTAGCTGGAAGTTACAGCCCTAATGAGTGCCACTAAAGCACTTACCAGCTGCTTCTGCTCTGAGCTTCTTGGCTGCTGAGAGGTAAGCAGCTTCTCCACCCCACTCTCTTGCTCCTCCCACCTTAACTTACCGGACAACCACAGGCAGAGCAACGTGGGATGGGACATCTGCAACTGGAAACCTTTCTTCATAAATGGATTCTCTTGGGCATTTTGTCACAATACGGGAAAATGGTAAGAGCAAGATTTTAGTGTCTTTCTGCTAAAGTGCATGCCTCAAGTTAAAAGTATTTTAAATTCCTGCGAGAAGTTAGTTAAATTTCATCTGCATCTTGGCTTCTTTTGTTCAGGTAAAATTATTGCCTGCTTTTATGTGGCATAAAGCCTTCACTAAATAGAATCTGAAAGAAGATGTGCAAAAATGGTTGGCATTTTGGAGCTAATTGGTGAGAAAAGGGACTGTTTCAGAAACGATTTCACAAACCTGGTGGTGTGGTGTGTCCTCCACCAAGGTCATGGCCGGACATTCAGACCTTCATCCAGATAGGGAAAGAGCTTCTTCTTTTCCTGCATGGAGGTTGCAGCTGGGTTCTCCAACTTTTGTCAGGTTTATGGAGGAGCTTTCTCCTCTATTGTCAGCATACAGTATTACACAGCAGATGAATCTTCAGGCAGGGTCACGTGAGTCTGTGTCTCTGACGGTGGTGGAAATTAGTGTTCTTATTGTTTGGTAGTATGGATGTTGGTGTTAGCGAATTGAGTCCCTTCCTTCCCTTCGCCACAGCTTAGCATGCTCCCTTCCTAGGCAGCACTAGGCCCCTGTAGTAAAGGCAGTAAATAATCAACTTCCAACCCCCTTTACCTTGGGATGGCACTTATCGCTGGGGCAGCTACCACCATATAAGAGCCCCTTAGAGAGACCTTCAAGTCCCAGCAGCTGCAGGACCCTTATCTACCATTTGGGCAGCCATAAATCCTAGTCTAACATGATGAAGCCCCTGGCCTACACGTCCACACCAGGGTCTCCTCCTCCTAGCCCCTTCTAGCCCCTCCTAAACCTCCTAGGTTATATAGGTCACCCCAGACAATAGCCGGTGCTTCTTCTCACTTCTTTCTTGTGAGCAGGGATCTTGCTGGCCCCCTTTCCTGGCAATAAACCTTTCTTTGTTCTCTGTACCTGGATGTCTGCGTGGTTCTCTGGTAAAGTCTCTTAATCTTAATTTTGCTAAGAGTTGGTCAAGTCAGAAGTAAGCTGAAATGCTCAGAAGGGAGGGGAACCCTGATTCCTGCCAAGGCCCATTTGGGTATCTAGAACATGATTTTCAACTTATATAAGAGTATCAATTCAGGAAGCTGGCTGTAGGCTGCTAATGAAAAGCGTACCTGTCCAGTCACATTTTGTAGACAGGAAGTTTCCCACCCCAGGTGAGGAGCATATAAATCAAATCGATTTCATTCCAGACAATATTGAACTGGCTGAAGCAGCCAGTTCAATTCCTGAATCAGCCTTGATCCTTCACCCTCTAGTTCCTCACCCCCACTTGCAGACCAGTGTAGTGATAATTCTCACAAGTGATCAGTAGGTCCCTTGGAAAGATAGACCATCAGCATGGAGTAGAGCAAAAAGTACTGTCTCGACACCATGACCTTGAGATGGTGAGGGAAGGATAGTACTTTGTAATAAAGTGGTAATAAAAAATAGATGATAAAGTGAGGGAGGAGGGAGATTCAGATTGCTGTTGCCTCTAGGTATAAGTTGGAATGAGGGACTTTAGGATTGATTTTCAGGGAAATGAGGTCAGAGAACTCTTTAATGGTTGATCCTAGAAGAAATAAGTGGGAACCACGGAGAAAGGCTTTCTGCTTGGGCCTCCTGCTCAATTTCCTTCTACATAAAATATGCAGTATGCCAATATTGGAGTACTATGTGCTGAATCCTTGCTGTGTGTTATGTTGTACTGGTGAGAGGGCTGTCTTTATTCAAGGTAACTGTGTTTCTGATAGTTTAGGAAGAGACAGTTGTAATAGAAATCTGAGTTCAGAGAACCAGTAGACAGAATTAGGGACACAGGGGACTAGACTCATTTGAAAGTGCTCCTTGGTATGTGGAACTGATTTCCCCAGAAGAGGTTCAGTGCTGGGTGTGCAAAGAGCCACAGGGTCTCTATCAAAAGACCTGTGGGTGCTCAGGATGGGCTTATTTTTCTCTTGGGCAGAATCTTCCAGCACACTGTAGGGTACCTGTGTGACTGCAGGAAATCTGGTTTCATAATGACCAGCATGGTTACAACACCTACCAAGCACAAAGCCCATGGTTACAACACCTAACAAGCACAAAGCCCTGAGTTTGAGCTTCAGTGTTGCATAAAAAAAAACAACCAAAACTTACTGGATGCAGCTCATGCCTGTAATTCTAGCTGCTCAGGAAGCTGAGATCCAAGGATTACGGTTTGATGCCAGCCTGGACAGAAAAGTCTATGAGACTCTTACCTCCAATTAACCACAAAAAGCTAGAAGTGGAGCTATCTGTTGCTCAAGTGGTAGAGTACCAGCCTCGTGAGAAAAAGCTAAGGGAGAGCATCCAGGCCTTCAAGCTGCAGCATCAGCACAAACACACTGGTTGCCAATAAATGTTAGTTAGAATGAATGATCATCAGATACTCCTTACTCAACAAGTATTTTGTTAGGGGACCTTCCTTGTTGTCAACAAAGAGCAATTTAGGCAAGGTCTTTATCTCTGGAACTGAAATCCTAGCTAACAATTCAAAGTTTCTAAACAAGAGCTCTGCAGGTGGGCAGAGGGTGTGGCTTATTTGGAGATCAGGTGAAACCCTGGGCTTAATCTCCACAACCACCAAAACTGAGGAGTGCTTTGATGGTGACACAGCCAGGTATGGGGTGGGAAGATCCACAGGGAAGTTGATGACCACGAAAGATTCCATTGAGATGGTCACCTGAGTACTGGCAACACTTGGAGAAGGCTTCTGTGTAAAGAAGCCAAAAATAAGGACAAAAATAGTGAATATTGACAGTGAACCCAGTCTGATCCTAAGAAGATACAACAGTTATTATTGTACACATGAACACTTCCTGGGAGACTAAAGTTCCTTCCCATTAAGAGGTGTATTTCTTTTTCTCTTTCTTTCTCTCTTTCCTTCTTGCTTTGTTGTTCTTGCTGTTTCTTGGGACCCTAGGAATTCGATTATCAAGATACGTATTTCTATTAAAAGTTTTTACTTTTTACTTCTGTGTTCCATAGCCACAGAAATGTAGAATATATTTGTGCTTTTTGATCAAGTATGTGCAAATTATAACAATGTCTGTAAAGTAAGAGTTTAAGGTAAAAAAGGAAAGTGATAAATGCTTAATTGCTAAAGAGGGAAAAAGTATATTTTTTTTGTCATCGGTCGTGGGGCTTGAACCCTGGGCTTGGGCACTGACCCTGAGCTCTTCAGCTCAAGACAAGCTCTACCACTTGAGCCACAGTGCCATTTCCAGTTTTCTAGTGGTTTATTGGAGATAAGAGTCTCACGGACTTTCCTGTCCGGGTTGGCTTTGAACCATGATCCTCAGATCTCAGCCTCCTGAGTAGTTAGGATTACAGGCCTTAGCCACCAGCTCCCGGCCTTATTTTTTGTTTTTGTTTTTGGTTGGTCATTAGGCTTGAACTCTGAGCCTGGGTCCTGTCCCTCAGCTCTTCAGCTCAAGGTTAGCGCTCTACCACTTGATCCACAGCACCACTTCTGATTTTCTGGTGGTTTATTGGAGGTAAGAGTCTCACAGACATTCTTGCCCCAGCTGGCTTTGAACTATGATCCTCAGATCTCAGCCTCCTGAGTAGCTAGGATTATAAGTGTGAGCCACCGCCACCCAGCAAAATATATATTTTTAAATGGCGGTATTTGACATTAGTATGCTTTTTAGACTCTATTGCTACATTTTAAACAGAAGTGAAATTTTTTTAATGCCAATTTTGTAATACATAGGAAACTTAAAATTTACTAATATTTTCAGCTTATATTGAAAAGTCAGAAAAAAACATTTGAGTCTTTTTCAGTTTTCTTTAAAGGAATATGAAAGAAACAAAAATACTTGAAGAGCATTTATCTTGAAAAAAAAGTTTCCTTTTTCTTTGCACAACAAACTCTCAAAAGTGATGATAAAATTAGGTAAGGGAACAAATATGGGTATCTACGTGTAGTGCCAGCTTCCTGGGAGGCTGAAGCAGGATGATTGTTTGAGCCCAGGAATTTGAGACCTGCCAGAGTAATATTGTGAGACCTCATCCCCCAAACAAGAAATCAAACAAGCCAAAACAAATTAATTAAAGGAAAATAGGAAACTGTCGTTTTTTTTTAAACAATGATTAGGGTAACAATATTTTTATTGCTATAGTTACTATTTCTTGATATTTATGAACCACACATAAAGCGTTACAGTGGCTTATTTTCTTCTCTAACATAAAATGAAATGGTTGAATAGGTGCTGTTTATTGGAGAATATCAAAGGAATCTAGGAGTTTATCAATACTTTTTTTTTTTTGGTCTGTTGTGGGGCTTGAACTCTGGGCCTGGACACTGTCCCTGAGCTCTTTAGGCCAAGGCTAGCACTCTACCACAGCTCCACTCCTGGTTTTCTGGTGGTTAATTGGGGATAAGAGTCTCATGCACTTTCCTGCCCTGGCTGGTTCTGAACCATGATCCTCAGATCTCAGCCTCCTGAGTAGCTAGGATTACAGACATGAGCCATGGTGCCTGGGGGCTTGAACTCTGGGCCTGGGCGCTGTCCCTCAGCTCTTCAGCTCAAGGCAAGCGCTCTACCACTTGAGCTACAGCCCACTTCCGGTTTTCTGGTGGTTTATTGGAGATAGGAGTCTCACGGTCTCTCCTGCCCGGGCTGGCTTTGAACCGCGATCCTCAGATCTCAGCCTCCTGAGTAGCTAGGATTACAGACATGAACCATGGGGCCTGGTATTTTTTAAATACGCTTTGGTTATGATTTAAAGCTAGTTTAATCGTTTTCATTAATTATATTTAATTATTCTGTGTGGCACACATCAGTAATCTCGGTATTCAGGAGTCTGAGGTAGGAGGATGAAGAGTTCAAGGCCAGTCTGGGCCACAAATGGAGACCCTCTGGGGAAAGAGGGAGGAGAGAGAAGAGAGGAGAAAGAATGCACATTTGCAATGACAGAACATAAACATAAAGGTGATTTAACATTTGTTTAATGCATTGTCAAATACAGTACATATGTACATTTGATTAAGGGGAATTTTCACTTTCACTCAGTTTGACTAGCAATAAAACTGCCATTCAACACAAGTAAAGAGCAGTATGTCCCAATATCTGACTAACATTATTTCCTACAACCCTCTTTACTATGTTAACTGCTTTGGGAGTCAGGATTTGCAGAGCTCAGCTAAAGAGGTACTTCTTGGATATGGGATACATTTGTCTTATCTTTTTTCTTTTTTTTAATCAGTCATGGTGCTTGAACTCTTCGCCTGGGCACTGTCCCTGAGCTCTTCAACTCAAGGCTGGTACTCTACTGCTTAAGACACAACATCACTTCCAGTTTTCTGGTGGTTTATTGGAGATAAGAGTCTCACGAACTTTCCTGCCCATGATCCTCAGATCTCAGCCTCCTGGGTAACTAGGATTACAGGCATGAGCCACCGGCACCCGGCTTATTATCTTTAAAATAAAGTAGCAATAATAAAAATACTAGACAATTATATAAATTTTATTACATAATTATTGATTATAAATTATAGACTTTGTTTTTTCTTGGAGTAATAGTTCAAGATAGGATAAATACTCTTGGCTTTTGGAAAAATTGATATATAACAAAACAATGGAAGAGCCACATGTATGGACATTTAAATTGTTATTAGCCCATATTAATTGTATAAGATAATGGGCTTCATTGTGACATTTTGATGCATGCACATGACATACTTTGATTGTGCCAACCTCTGTTTCCTTCTCTTATCTTCCCCACCTCCTTTTTCTGGTTCTTCTCATCTTTAATAGGACCCCTCTGATTTCATGACATTTCCTTCTTTCTTTTCTAGATTCATATATAGACATTCTTTTTAGTTTATTTTACCGAATTTAGATCCTCATGCTCTCACTTGGCTTTTTTGCTCACCACTTAAGCCACACCTATCTGAAAAATAACTAAAGCAAAAAGGGCTGGGGATGTGGCTCAAGTGATTATCTGTCTAGCACAAGGCCTGAGTTCCGCTGCAAAGCAAGCAGAACAGAACAACAGAAACCCCACCAATACCACACATACACAAAATAAGTTGTTAATGATTTTTAAGCGAGTTTTATTTTTACTTCTTAGAATCTAAGAAGCAGAAAATGTGAATAAGAAAAAATAGCAAAATGATAATGATGGTTTTATTAAAATGGTGGGTTTGCCAAATGCCTGTGTCTCATGCCTGTAATCCTAGCTACACAAAGAGGTTGAGAGATTCAGAGGATACACTCTGCCTCCAGAATAACCAGAAGAAAAAAAAATCCAAGCTGCAAGCAGGATGCAAGCAAGCCAAATGTGAGCGAAGCCCTGAGTTCAAACCTTAATACTGGGAAAAAATAACAATGGTAGGATTATGATAATTTTTGGTTCTTGACATTTTTTAAATCGCCTCTGCAAAAGATCACTTCTTTGCCTGACTAGTAAGTAATTTGTTCAACCTCTTAATGATTCCTCATGTCATTGCCTATTGTCACTGTACCTTGAGTCAATTCAACACTCTGGAGGCTGGAGCAGGAGCAGTATGAGTTCGAGGGCAACCTGAGTTACATAATGAGACCCCATCTCAAAAACACTAAAACTTAGAATATTTAAGTTCATCCCAGTCCTATCAGGATTAAATGGGGTTTTTAAAAGCCCTATTTAATTTTTTTTAATCTGCATGTTTTCAAAGCAGAAAATACCTTGTTTCATGTCTTTGATTACTATAAGTTTGAACATAGTTTCCAGGGATTTTGAAGTTAGGTTTGTGTTTGTCTTTTATGAGTCATTTCTTCCTGTTCACGAAGCATTGCTAATCAGGCACTCTACTTACCAAGTCTTAAAATGCTCCCTAAAATGCTCTAGAACTTTGGCTGCCATATAGTCCATGAAGTTAGAGCTCTCGGCACTTGTATCAGGAGTGATCTTCACTGTGAAATTGGGGGAAGGCAAAATGTGTGAGTCCACCCTCGTTTCAGCTTGTTGGAAAGAATGTCCTTCACGATCACTGAGCACTCCCTAGAGCAGGAGAATTATTTTGTGTCAGGTTTACTAGATCCCAGTATACCTTCAAAATTAATACCAGAGTAGTCAGGATAGCCTACGTAGTGCTGGGGTGACAAATTAGACGGTCTATCTCTTGCTCATGTTACCTGTCCATGACAAGGGCTCCAGACTATATGGTTGGTCATTTAGGTTCCTGACTGACAGAAGTACATCTTCATATGGCTGTGGCATGTGCATTCTTGGCTTTCTTTGTGCCAGAGGAAGAGAGTGAATAGGTCCCATGCTTCCTTGTCCCTCCCTGGAAATAACCCTTGTCCTTTTCCTTACATTTCATTGGCTAGAACCTATCACATGGTACCACTTACCCACAAGGAGGACTAGAAGACATGAATGAGCTGTGAAATGTTTAATGAGTGTTGTTGTCTGTGTGACTGACATTAACGTGGACTGCTCAGAGCTTTTCTAGAAATGTACAATTTATGGTTTTATGTGTGATTTGGCCAAGAACTAGTGAAGCAAAATAAATATGGGATATTATTTATTCTCTCCCTTCTTCTCTTTCCTTTTCTCTCTCCTTTCCTTCTCCCCCTTTCTCTCTCTCTGTCTCTGTCTCTCTCTCTTGTCCTTTTCTTTCTCCCCCAACAGGGTCTCATGTATCCCAGACTGACCTCAATCTCAAGATTTTGTGTCAGCCTCTTGAGTGTGAGGATTGCAGATGTGTGCCACCATACCCAGCTTACCTTGTTAGTTGCTTAGCCCAGTGATTCTTGTGTCCAGGTCTTTGTAGGATATCTCCCATATATTAACCTAATTAGGAATCACTATGGTACATTTATATAATTAATGCAACATGGGGGTGGGGGTGCATGTCTCAGGAAAGAGTCATTTTTTATGGAACAAAATTATTATTTAAGTAGGGGAATCATGGGTGCACTTTAAGAGGACAGTATTTTTTAGGCAAAGATAAATGTGTAAGATTTGCATAATTCACTTTGTGTGTGTTTGTGTTCGTATCAGGATTTGGACTCAGGGCTTCACACTTCTCCACTTTTTTCCTTGCAGCTGGCACTGGGTCACACCTCCAATGCATCATTTTTTTTTACACATTAATTGAAGGTAAATCTCTCAGACTGAGCTGGACTTCCTCTCTGGCTTTGAAATGAGATTCTTAGATCTCAGGCTTCTGAACAGCTAGGATTGTAGGCATGAGCCATTAATGCTGGAAGATTCACTTAATCCTTAAGGTAACTCAGTTTCTTATTGTGCCAAAAAGTAGTAAGAGCCATCATATACAGGCCTCTTTGTACAAGTGTCTTCTACTGTTTGCTTTTCAAGGAAACATTTGGAGGTGGTTACTGTTACTACCATTTTAAAGGTGGAGAAACTGAGACCTAGAGAGGCAAAGGAACTTTTTTGAAGATCTGTCAGCTCACTGCTAAATTTTGAGGCCAAACTGCTTTACCTGTAAGTCTTCTCTTTTAAACTCTAAATTAGCCGGGTTTCTTCAAAGTTACCTTGATCACTTTCAGCCCGATAACTTCTTTGGATTAGACGTATTTTTATTTATTTTTTTGTTGGTACTGTTTTTTTTTCAGTACTAGGGTTTGAAGTCAAGGCCTTAGGCTCCCCAGGCAAGTTATATATTACTTGGGCCATGTTTCCAGACTTTTTTTGCTTTCATTCTTTTTCAAATAGAATTTTACATTTATACTCAGGCTGATCTGAGACTACCTTCTTCCTGTGTATACTTCCCATATGTCTAGAATGACAGGTATATGCCTCCATACCTACCCTCTTATTAGTGGAGGTGAGGTCTTATGAACTTTTTGTCCAGGCTGGCCTTAAATTGTGGTCCTCCCAATCTCTGCCTCCCAAGTACCTGAGATTTCAGAGGGGTGTGTGTGTGTGTGTGTGTGTGTGTGTGTGTGTGTGTGTGTGTGTGTGTGTGTGTGTATGTTTTAAATGGAGTTTTCTTATAGAGATTTTTGTTTTCTAAGGGCCATGAACTATATTACATCAAGTCAGCCTGAATACAATCACAATGAACACCCACATTCCCCTTCAGCTTAGTTTCAGATTCACACAACATCAGCGAATAAATCGGCACATGTAATGTCCATACTTCTCTTGGATTGGAAAGTTACCTTTGTTAAGTCACTGATGTTCTCAGCTCCTGGGATCTTGCTTGCCAGTTCAGACACCCAGCCAAACTGTGCCTTCATCTTCTCCATCAGGTGCAAGGTGTCCTGCACGTGGTACTGGGTCATGCGGACAATCTGGTCATACTGCTGACTAGATAGGTTGACCAGTCTCAGAGCCTCATCGAGTTCTGTGTGCAGGTCAGGGACATCAGGACAGTCTGGGGAAAAACAACCCAGAGAAGGGAGACAGGTGACGTGGACCCCCGTGACTTCCTAACTTCTGCCTGTTATTCTGGAATAATGACACCTGTATCAGTTTCAAATAAGGTCTAGTTTCACTTATTGTTAATTATGTGACTTTATGTAACAAAAACTGGGATGGAGACAGAACTTATAAATATCATGTACCTACCACCTATAGTAAGAAAAAAGGCAAGGCTTGGGGCTGTGGCTGAGTGATAGAGCACCTGCGTGGCATACACACCGGGGTTGTGTCCCCACGCCACACACAAAAGAATTACTAAAGGAGAAGGCCCTGCTGGGCCTCTTTTACATCACATTCCCTTCACAGACACCCACAAGGAAACTAGCTGTTTTGAATTTGGATATATATGCCAGTACCAAGAACTGGTAGAAGGAAAGAAGCCGCGTAAGGAGCTTGGGGTATGGCTCAAGTGGTAGAGTTGGAGTGAAAACAAGAGTATAAAGTTTTCACTGCTGTGTTTCCTTCTCTTCCTGTGAGTGCAAATACTACTCCAGTCATCTTTGTTTTGGGGTAACTTGAAGGCACAGTAGTTATTTTCAGCTTATAGACAGGCTGTAATCTGATCTTTCCTGAACTTGCTTTGTAATTTTGATAGAATTTAAAGATGAACTTGCGTCTTTTGTTAAGAGCTTGGTCTGTTAAAGTCTTTTTAAAAAATTTTAATTTTATTGTAAAGGTGATATACAGAGAGGTTAGAGCTCAATAAGTAAGGTAATGAGTACATTTCTTGTCAAACGTTGTTACCACCTCCCTCGATTTTTCCCCCTTCTCCCCCCACACTGTCCCCCACCCCCTGTGGCCCATTAAATTCTGAACAGAGAACTTCTTGTCCAGAGTCACAAGCTAGTGTGGTGGGATTATTTTCATGATACTAAATAGTATCTTCTTCCTCCTTCTCCAAGCTGTTAGCCACACTTAAAAAAAATTGCCTTCCCTAGGCTATTACTAGAGTAAAATGAAAATAATCAGAATCTGAAGTTGTTTTGTTTTTTGTTTGTTTGTTTTTGTTCCAGCCCTAAACTCAGGGCCTGGGTGCTGTTCCTGAGCTACTTTGCTCTAGTCTAGCACTCTACCACTTGAGCTGCAGCTCTACTTCCAGCTTTTTTGGTGGTTAGTTGGAGAAAAGAATCTCAAAGACTTCCTACCCTGGCTGACTTGGAACTGCAGTTCTCAGATTCCAGCCTCCTGAGCAGCTAGGAATACAAGCATGAACATCTGGTGCCCAGCTGTTATATATAGAGATAGATAGATAGACTGATATAGATATATAAAAATTATATAGATACATGAAAAAATTCATATATATACACCATTTATATCATGTATATATCAGATATACATATATAATCATACATAAATGAATATATATGTATATGTACATAGATATAGATATATATGAAATTTTTTAGTCTGGCCCTGGTGGGGTGGGAGGGGTTCTAGAGTTTAGGGAAAGGTAGAGATGAGGAAAGGAATCAGGAAGGTAAAGAGCCACTCTTGGCTAGATCTAAGAAGGGAAAAACTTCCTAGGGCTCCTGACCAGGGAACACTTCCTCTTCTGAAATACTAATCAGTATTTATTAGTACATACTCAACTGGAAAGAGCTAATGTTGCTTTCCAATAAAACACCTCACTAGGCTGATGGATTTGTCCAGTGTGGAGTATTCCTTCATTGGAAGGAAGAGGTGTAGAGTTGCCCTAATTTACTCATTGTTTTTCTCTTTTGCACCTATTAGTGTTTGTTTGGTCTTTAATCATGGGAAAGTTTCACAGGAACAACTATGGACTTGGGAAAGTGAAAAATGAGCTGACATGCTTTTGAATAATAACAATTTATAAACCTACAGTGAGCACCCCATTGAGAACAACACCTCCAAGAACTGGACAGAAAACCGAGTGAAGGCTGGGAAGGTGACTCAGTGGTAGAGCGCTTGCCTTGCATGCAAGAGGCCCTGGGTTCTATTCCCCAGTACCACATAAGCAAAAAGAAAAAAGCCGGAAGTGGCGCTGTGGCTCAAGTGGTAGAGCGCTAGCCTTGAGCTGAAGAGCTGAGGGACAGCGCCCAGG